TATCATCCTTATCTCCCCTTCTTCTTTTTTATGTTTGTTACTCTCTTGTAACACCTCTAATCTTCTGGCACTCATATGACCTTATGCAGTTGCGAGCGCCATTAAACCTCTACTAAAACTAAACTAAACTAAGATCATGTAAATTCATGATAGATCCTGTTTTGGTGTAAGTATCAGCTCTCTTCAGGCTTCTTTCTTCCGTTTTCCTTCATCTTAACTGTTCACCAATTACGCCCATCTGCTGTGACGCTGTGGCCAGCTTTTTACCCTTTAGACAATTTGTTCCTTTGGCGGTGCTACTAACTGAAGTGTCTTTAGGCCATTCCCAAAGGGGGACATTACCTTGTTCTTTTGCACAGTAAAAAAATTGTAAATGGGCTGATTCATCAATGTCATGCTCATAACTGTGCCGGAATTGCAACAGGGAACTGCTGTTTTTTCTTTCCTAATCCTTATTATACTCATTTTTTCTCTACTTCTTTTGTATGTTTGTCACTCTCTTGTGAACTGCTATTTCCGGGGTGCCTTGATTATGATAGTTGAAGCAGACTTTGTGCTGTTGAAGCAAGAGAGGTGAGCAGAGTAAGCCTGATTCACTGTAAGGACTTCTCTGTTGACATCCACCCCTTGGTGCTCATATATGACCTTATGCAGTTGCGAAGGCCGTAATAACGCTTCTACTAAAACTAAAAAAAGAAAAGAAAAGAAAATAGAAAAAGTCTTCCTCTTCTCTCCACCAGAAACCGTCAAAGATCTGATTCGATTTCTGCGACGTGACACGGACATTTGCGACATTCGACGACAGTTGGGGCATGCCCAGATTGTACAGAATGACCTCATCCCATTGGTCAAGAGCTACCACGCAGACAAGGTTTTGTTCGAGACCAACATCAAGTGAGAGTTTATAATAATAATAATAAATAAGGATAATAATTAATAATAATAGCAATAATAATAATAATAAATAGTGATAATAAATAATTGATAATAATAATACATAATGATAATAATAATAATAGTAAATGATGATGATGATTATAAATAACGATAATGATAATAATAATAATAAATAATGCTAATAATAATAATAATGATTATTATAATAATAAATAATGATAATAATATTAATAGTAATAATAAATAATGATAATAATAATAATTTTACTACAACTACTACTAATAAATAATAATAAGTAGTAATAATAGTAAGTAGTAATTATAATTAATAATAATAATAAATAACAATAATACATTTTACTAATAATATAATAATAGCATTTATATAGTGTATATCCACGCTCTACAGCAAGCTCTCTATGGGCTTTACAACTAATATTTCCCCAGCGGATCCTAAAACAGTTAGAAACATTCTCGGCTTCCCAGGAAGCATACAGTGCTAGCTGCGGATTTCACGCGCTCAGACACTTGCAAACTGATAATTAGGGCTGTACCCCGGTAGCAAACCCGCTCGTGCTCACAAGCCCCTAGTTCAAGTCACAAGCCTCAAATCAGTAGGTCAAATCATCAAATCAAATCACCAGCAATATAAGTTGAGTCTAGCGCAAACTGTAACCTCCTTAGTCTACTCTAAACTTCAAGTCCACAGCAACTAGCAATCCGCGAAGCCACTCGTGTCAGGCCCCCTCATCATCCCCACCCTGCTTGCAATCCGCGAAGCCACTTACGTCAGAAAAAGAGAGAGGGGGAGAGTGAGAGATCTCGCCCACAGAGTCACTGCGCAGCGTGGCGCTGTAGTTTACTCGATTAATCGAGGCCTGCGCAAGCCTCAAGTCCTGTCCGCTGCCACAGGCCCCACAATTCTCACAGTACTGATTTGCGCTAGGCTTACAGATTTGCCCCAGGACAAGCTCCAAACCTGACCTGCTGACTTGTACTGTCTCGATACACCGAGCGAGCGGCACGGGCTCGATGGCGTAGGACCGTCTTGATGGCGACAAGACAGTCCGATGTGTTCAAACAGCAAGACAGTACTGTGCGCTGTGTGAACTTTGAACCGTGGAGGAAGGGAGAGGCTGGGCTTGTTTTGGTGCAAGGCGTAGAGAGCTGAAGTTATTTTTAACTTCCTGCCGTTGATCAGCTAAACGAATGGATAAGTGAGAGGGAGCGTGGTATTGTAGTAACAGAGACCTAGGTTTCTGGTAGTAATAAGAATAAGTTGACTTAGATTACCCTAGAATGGAGAACTCCAGGGGTCGTTGTGATTGGCTTTTGTATCGTATGTATGTAACCTATTTTGTAGATGTGTTACACTCACAGTGACATAATACAGAACATTTAGGAGACGGGCTAGGCCTACTTCAACCCAATGTCAGGGCCAACCTGGGCTGAGAGGGAACAACGCCCCAGCAGAAAGACGGAGGTTCTCAGTAAAAATTTCTCCCCATACAGGAATCGAACTGAGGTCTTTTGCGTGCGACGATGAAGCGCTTGGCTCGTGCACATTAAAAATAAACAGGCCTTAACATCATAAGAATAGCCGATCCAATATTAATTTTTAAGTGCATTGAATAGAGCTTTTTGTTTTTTACAACCGAACTATGAAAAAAACCCAACCGATCTTGCACTTTTGGTGCAAGCCTGTCAGCGCAAATAACCAGAGAATCTATAATATGTACTGAGCCCACTGCCACGAGAGTTCGCAACGTCACGACACAGTACAGCAGGACTCTCCGCGAGTCACAACTCACCGGAAGTTCCCTCCGGTAGCAAGCGGGAGGCAAATCAAACCACAAGCCTGCTCGCAAGACTCTAGCGCAAGACTTCCGCTGCTTTACAAGCCTTCGATTAACCGAGCAGAATCCAGCCCTACTGATAATAGATCTTTCACCGTCCATAGCCGGTCTATTCTCACCAGGTTGAAGTGAGGAAAAGTCTGTGGAAAGTGCCCTTTGGCTGTGTAATGGTTACCGGAGGAATTTAAGAAAAGCTGCCTTGTCCAAATGTACTTGGCTTTTTTGTGCCTACTCTATATTTTCATGTTTTGGAAAGAATAATATTACATATATGTGAGACATGCTGACAAAATGAGTTACTTCTCGCAATTCACAAATCAATATATTGACCAAAAATCGACTCTAGGGCCAAATTTATACATTTTTTTTATCAATGCCTTATTCATTAAGTATAACATGCTTTTTGTTATTTCATACTTATTAATTGTAAAAACTTCACCTATAAGCATGATGTATCTATTTCTATGGGGCTCGAATCCAAGAAGGAACTCATTTTATCAGCACGCTTCACATATGTAAAGAGATTACTCTTTTGTTGATAGAATGATAATAGTTTATAAAGTAGAGAGAGATAAAACTAGTGTTGATTCCTGTTGTGAACTTTTGGGTTACAATGGGGAATACAATACATGGATGATAAGAATTTGTCAGCTTCACATAATAATAATAATAATAAATCTAGTAATGATAATTATACATTGTAATAATAAACCAAAAAAACACGTCGGGAGATGTTCCACTGCTGATCGTCACCGCTCACAGCTCTGTGATTTTTTAATGAGGGTCTATCGGATTTTGAATTATAATGGTTATAAGTGTGTCTTGCTCAAGAACACACAGCACAGAGTTATATGTGAGACATCATGCTGGAATCAGGCGCTCGTCAAAACAATCAAACTGAAGAAACTGGCTTTTTTTCTGCAGGTTTGTGAATTTTTATCGAATTTTCGTTTTTTGGCTAACACCTTTCGTGCCCATTAAAGAACACATTTCTGTGAGGATTTTACTGAAAAACAATTATTAAAGGCACACAAATGTAAATTTTTAAGTTTCCACCAACTCTCAAGTTAAGGAAAAAACTCATCTTTGGCGGCCATTTTCTCACTAACTTTACCTCTGAAACCAAGTGACCCCTACCTCCTTCAATCGCAAATATCTCAATTTCTATTCATGGTAAATGGGTGGGTATTTTTTCGTCAAAAGCAAAACAAATGACAAGCTTTAAGATGATACCAATGGCTCCACAAACCCGAAAATTGACGAGCGCCTGATTCCACAGCGTTGTGACACATATTCCTCTTGCTCAAGAACGCACGGCACAGACTTATATTCCTCTCCCGAGTAACTGTGGATGTGTTGCTGTGTTTCTCCAGACTGTTGGTGAACTTGACTCAGCCGGTGATCACCTGCTTCAACAACCAGATCCCGGACGAGAAAACGCTGAGGAACTATTGCCTGGAGGTGGAGTCACACCTGCAAGACGCAAAAGAGGTGAGTCGAGAACTCTCCGACTTATGTTTTTGTTAGAGTTTTAAGGCACTTGCAACACAATTAGGTCATGTACGGCACTAGTAAAAGTTTTATGGCGCTTGCAACACAATACAATACTGAATGTCATTGCTGCTGGACTCTTAACAGCTAACTTTGAAATTGAGGGGGTTTTTTGTGGGGGTTTTTCTCCTGATTTCTTCCTGACATCACACAACACATCGTGAAAGTAACTTTCAGCTAGATAAATCCTTTCAAACTGGTTCGAGCCTCAGCTCGGTCCGACGTTGTGTCCTTGGGAGAGACACTTTACACGAACTTCCCACTGGGCTCGGTCCTATCGGAGATGGATGTTAAACTAGGAGGTCCCGCCCCTTAAATAACCTAATAGTGTTGATAGGGGCGTTAAACCCATACCATTTTCACCTTTCAAACTGTCACTACAAACGTTGGTTTCTAAACGGCTAAAACATGCACAATGGCCTTGTTTTTTAGGGGTTTTTTTTCACTTTCCTGTTATCCATTTAGAATCTTTCAGCAACAATATACAAGGAATGCAAGGATTGTGACAGTGTTCTTCATGGATGTAAATTTTCCGGCTTTTTCCGTTTTTTGGGGGTTTTTCCGGCGACTTGCCATATGGGCCCCAGCTTTTAACAAAAGTCTACTTTAAACAATACTTATTATTTCAGTTAATGTGTGCGTGCCATATATTTTCCAGCTTTTTTTTCAAAACCTGTTTACATCCCTGGTTCTTGTTATTAAAATTATTTTAGAAATGCAATCAAACCTGCCCTTTAAAAAATTATTATGACATTGTCCAAGATATTCACCTGTTTGAGACAATCGCTCTTCTCCTCGACAGTGGGTAGCCGTCTTGGTAAATTCCGGCTGTACTTGTTTCATGATGTTTTCAAGAATGTATAAATTCTTGCCATTATTTCTTGTAGCATTTTTGAGAAATGTCTTGTATCTGGACACTACTTACTTTTTAACCAGAATAGTTTATGTGGGATTATGAGTAACTGGACATTAGTTAAAGATTGACCAGAATGGTATGATTGTGCGGGATGTTGAGAAAATGATTTGGTGTCTATGGGTAGTTGGTGGGTGCTTTGGTGTGGTTTGCTCCTTCATTTCTATCAAACATTTATCATCCATATCTCTCCTCCTTTTATTTGTATGTTAGCGTCTGGTAACATTTGGTAACACCTCTAATTTTCGGCTCTTATATGATCTGTTTTGGAAGGAGAATGTATGGCCACATGAATAAACCACTGGTCAAAGATCCAATCAATGAGTTGAAGAGGGGAGATCAATCCATAATCTTCCAACTTAGAACACAACATGTACCCCTCAACCAACATCTCAACCGAATTGGAGTAAAGCAGTCTGCTGCCTGCCCACTATGTGACTACCCCTCAGAGACAGTGGAACATCATCTGTTCTTCTGTAGAAAACTAACTGGTTTAAGGGGATGTTTTCTTCTCAAGCTACCCCACACATCTAATTGCCTCTACTCCTCAAAACAATTAGAACAGACATGCAGCTATTACCGAATGTCATCATGCAGAAGAGTCAACGCTCAGATGCTACTGGATCACTGACAACAACAACAACATATGATCTGTTTGTGTTGCACATGCCGTAAAACTCTTACTAAAACAAAGATTTGTTATCTCTATTTTGTTGCAGGCCTTTGCTGATGAGGAACTGTTTGGTGTGCTGACAGAGAAAGTCAAGGATATTCTCAAACAGGTGTGTGTCTCTTTATTTGTCTGTCTTATTACAAAATACAGTGTTTTCGTATTTAATGTTATAGATGTTTGTCATATCCCTATCTACACCATTAATGTAACTCTTTAAACCCCATCCGAAGCTGGGAGCATCCGGCGGTAATAACCTTGTTCCCCATCAGACGCTGGGAGCATCCGGCGGTAATAACCTTGTTCCCTATCAGACGCTGGGAGTGTCCAGTACTAGTGACTACTGTTTTGCTTCACTTAATGCTAGTTTTTGCTTGTTTTTCGGAACTATTCCCGTGCCCAGTTTTTTTAGAAATGACTAAGTTAGTTAAGCCTTTGTTTCCACCATTCAGAAGTTGGAGGCAAGCATTTGGGGTTGTAATGAAACATAAGAAAAAACTCAGGGAAACCGTGGAAAAAACTAAGGGTTTAAAGAATTCAGAAGGGTTTCGACCTTGCCTGTGAAGGTTAACCTAGGCTGAGAGGAATACAACGCCCCAGCAGAAAGACAGAAATACTTGATAAAAATTCTCGTCACGTGGAATTGAACTCAGGTCGTCTGCATGCAACCGTGAAGTGCCTAACTGCTACCCCACAGATGCTTGTGCAGCGAGGTGAAAGTGTGGGACTTACAATGACAGGGTAAGGGGTTTGGTTCTTGAGTAGAGGGAGAAAAAGAAAAACATTGGTACTTTTTTAGGGGGAAGGGGTGTTCATTGTCGTCTCAATAGGCTGTAGGTGGATCTAGTTCATAGACTTGTAGCGTAATATTTATTATATCCGAGACTGCACTCTGTTGACATAATTCCCTTTCCTCACAGAGCGCACCATTAGACTCTATTGGAGCCTAATCAAGGGCAAGACTGGAAAGGTTGCACGTGTGCTTATAGCGGGACTGGTGTTTTGCCCTTCATTAATGTGTGTCCATAGTGTGCATCAGAGCAGTGAAGCGTTTTTCTGTTTTCGAGGACACTCAAGCTATGGAAGTCACCAAACTTTGGCGACTATTGTCTCGCTAATTTTATCTCTTACACCAGACTACCCCCTTCAATCGCAATTATCTGGACTTCTGTTCAAGATAGATGGATAGTTTTTTTCAAATCAAAATCATGACAAATGAACAGGCTTTAAGATGATACCAATAAATCTGTGCCCCGTGGGTGGTTGGCGGGTGCTCTGGTGTGGTTTGCTTCTTCTTTCCTATCAAACATCTATCGTCCTTATCTCCCCTTCTTCTTTTTTTATGTTTGTTACTCTCTTTTAACACCTCTAATCTTCTTGCGCTCATATGACCGTATGCAGTTGCGAGCGCCGTAAAACCTTTACTAAAACTAAAACTAAAATGTGTGCCCCAAAAATGGAATTGAGGAGCACCTGCTGATTCCACCTCATAGAGTTGGGTCGGGCTTGCTAAATCAGCGTCCGCGAGTAACGAACTACTCGCTGGCACTACCCGCAAACGTGCGGAGGGGTAACGAACTGTCTGCTTGTGAAGAGTAGTTTGCTACTCGCTACACATCAGACGGAGAAAACAGTTCGTTTAGCGAGCGAGCGGACGGAGAGACTCCTTACATTCGAACGGGCGGACGGACGAACGGGGACGAGTCCTTCTATTGCATACTTCTTACACCCCCTCTCTCCTCTTGAGGTCCGCAGTCCGCTCGCTGAGAGAGTAAAATTGTGGAGCGGACCCAAAAACCAAACTGTCTTGAGGTTCGCAGTTCGCTTGCATGCGTCCGTTACCTGCTCGCTCTGACTGAGTCCGCGAGTAACGAACCCGTCCGTCCGCTCGCTCCAACTCTACCACCTCTTCACGACACAAATAAAGTAGTTTGTCTTATTGTATCAAACAAATTCAGACTCGTAGTTTTGTCTGGTAGTGTAACTTTCCACTGAACCTCCCGAGGCGGTGCTGCTGACTGAAATGTCTTTAGGCCTTTCCCAAAGGGGGGACATTGATATGTTCTTTTGCACAGTAGAATTGTATATTTGTAAATAGGCTAATTCAACAATGTCATGTTCATATAACTGTGCCTGAACTGCAACAGGGAGCTGCTGCTTTTTCTTTCCTAATCCTTACTGTCGTCATTTTTCTTCTTCTTCTTTTAGTTAGTTTAAGTAGAGGTTTTACGGCGCTCGCAACTGCATACGGTCATATGAGCGGCAGAAGGTTAGAGGTGTTACAAGAAAGTAACAAACATAAGAAAGAAGAAGGGGAGATAAGGATGATAGATGTTTCATAGGAAAGAAGAAGCAAACCACACCAGAGCACCCGCCAACCACCCACTCTTTTTCTTTTGTATGTTTGTCACACTCTTGTGACCCGCTATTTCCGGGGAGCCTTGATAGTCGAAGCAGACTTTGTGCTGTTGAAGCTAGAGAGGTGAGCAGAGTAAGTCTGAATCCCTGTTAGGACTCCTCTGTTGACATCCACCCCTTGGCGCTCATCATATGACCATATGCAGTTGTGAGCACCGTAAAACCTCTACTAAAAATAAAAATAAGGACCCTAACTTTCCTGATTGTGGTTTACGTTTTGCTCAGGACTGGACGGATCGGCGAGAGGAAGACCGGCTGCAGCTGGAAAGACTGTTTGTCTTGATCCGGAATGTTCTGATGATTCCCCCTGACCCAGCCAGGGAGCAGGTGAGGTTTTTTTTTTGTTTTATTATAGGTGTCGTTTGTACGGTGATGATACTTGTGTCACTACTGTTTGTTGTTTTTTGTACGGTGATGATACTTAAGTCACTTTTTTGTTTGTTGTCGTTTGTACGGTGATGATGCTTAAGTCACTTTTTTGTTTGTTGTCGTTTGTACGGTGATGATGCTTAAGTCACTTTTTTTGTTTGTTGTTTTTTGTACCTGGATGATACTTAAGTCACTTTTTTTGTTTGTTGTCGTTTGTACGGTGATGATGCTTATGTCACTATTTTGTTTGTTGTTCTTTGTACATAGATGATACTGGTATGTCACCGTTTTGTTTGTTTGGGGTTTTTTTTTGTACTCGGATGATACTTCAGTCACTTTTTTGTTTGTTGTTCTTTGTACATAGAGATGATACTGGTATGTCACTGTTTTGTTTGTTTGGGGTTTTTTTGTACTTAGATGATACTCAAGTCACTTTTTTGTTGTTGTTTTTTTTGCCATAGATGATATTTATGTCACAGTTTTGTTTGTTGCTCTTTGTACATAAATGATATTTATGCCACTCTTTTGCTGGGTTTTTTGGGGGGTTTTTTGGTCATAGATGATATTTATGTCAATATTTTGTTTTTTGCTCTTTCTTTGTACATAGATTGTACTTATGATGTCACTATTTTGCTGGGGGTTTTTTTTTTTTTTTTTTTTTTTTTTTTTTTTAGTTTTTTTTTTTTTGGTTTTTTTTTTTTTTTTTTTTTTTTTGGTCATAGATGATATTTATGTCAATATTTTGTTTTTTGCTCTTTTTTTGTACATAAATGATATTTATGCCACTCTTTTTCTGGGTTTGTTTTTTTTTCTTTTTTTTGTTTTTTGGTCATAGATGATTTTTATGTCAACATTTTGTTTTTTGCCCTTTCTTTGTACATAGATTGTACTTATAATGACACTGTTTTGTTTGTTGTTTTTTTTGCTATAGATGATACTTCTGTCATTGTTTTTGTTTTGTTGCTCTTTATGCAGATGATACTTTTGTCACTTTTTAATTTTTTTTCATAGATGATATTTATGTCAATATTTTGTTTTTTGCTCTTTCTTTGTACATAGATTGTACTTATGATGACACTGTTTTGTTTGTTGTTTTTTTGCTATAGATGATATTTATGTCACTGGTTTTTTTAAAATTTATTTTTTTAAACACAGATGATACTTCTGTCACTGGGTTTAAATGATAAAACTAAACTAAATGTTTTTGTCCTCCTTATTTGTATAACTATCCTGCTATGTCTATTCAATGCTTGTTTATGTTGTGGTTTATTTATGTCATTCTATGTTTATTAAATGTTGTGCTGTATATTTACGTCATGCTGTGTTGGTTTATGTTGTTGTTCCGTTTATGTATGTCATGCTATATTTATTTTTGTTGTGCTGTGTATATTTATGTTGTGGATTATTTATGTGATGCTATATTTATGTTTTGCTGTTATTTGCGTCAAGCTTTATTTATGTTGTGCTGTATATTTACTCATTTCATGTTTGTCCTCTCCCCGGGGCAGTGCCACTGACTGAAGTGTCTTTAGGCCATTCCCTATTTCTCGTTCTAATGCACAGTAGAATTGTAAATGGGCTGGTTCAACAATGTCATGCTCATAACTGTGCCTGAACTACAAGAGGGAACTGCTGCTTTTTCTTTCCTAATCCCAATACGAGGTGCCCACTACGGATGGGATCGGCCGATCACACCGATCACCCGACTCGATCGCCTCAAAAACAAACGTGTTTGTTTTCAGTTTCAGGCGATCGAGTCGGGCGATCGCCCTCGATCGGCCGATCCCGTCCGCAGTGGGCACCCCGTATTACTATCGTCATTCTCCTCTTCTTCTTTTGTATGTTTGTCACTCTCTTGTGACCTGCTATTTCCAGGGTACCTTGAAAGTCGAAACAGACTTTGTGCTCTTGAAGCTAGAGAGGTGAGCAGAGTAAGCCCGATTCCCTGTAAAGACTTCTCTGTTGACCTCCACCCCGAGCGCCGTAAAACCTCTACTAACAAAAAAAGAAAATGTTTATCCTGCGATGTTAACTTGACTCTGCTTTGTTTATATTAACGTCCTACTACGTCTATTTATTTACAGTCTGCTATTTTTATTTTCGTCCGCAGAGAACTGATGATGATGCCACGATACACGACCAGATTTTATGGTGAGTTGTCCTCAACTTTTCCTTGTTCTCGTCTTTTCATGTGGGGAACTTGTTATGTTTACGGCTTGATTGAGGTGTGGTTGGCTTCTTCTACTTCTTGCGGGTGTTTGGAGGACACCACTGGTAGATCCTACTTCTTTACTTTCCCTCTGCTGTTCTGTCTGTCTTTCTTTCTTGTGGGTGGTTGGCGGGTGCTCTGGTGTGGTTTGCTTCTTCTTTCCTATCAAACATCTATCGTCCTTATCTCCACTTCTTCTTTTTTATGTTTGTTACTCTCTTGTAATACCTCTAATCTTCTGGCGCTCATATGACCTTATGCAGTTGCGAGCGCCGTAAAACCTCTACTAAAACTTTCTTTCGTTTCCCAGCGCTAAATGACCATCGTTGTGTCGATGTCCTTCTCCTTACTCAAATTCTATTTCTTTGTAGTTTTGTTACATTGAATATAACCTCTTCCTGGCTAAATATCGGGAAGGAGAGAGTGGTTTCTTTTAAAAAGTGACGTAAAAGTCAACTCACCAGAATTATTGATTATGATATAGATAATTATTATTATTTTGAATTATTAACATTATCATTGCTATTATTATTATTATTATTATTAATATTATTTAAATTATTGTTGTTGTTGTTGTTATATCATTGTTATTACTATTAATACTATTATTATTGTAATTGTTATTATTAATTTATTTATTAACGTGATCAATTATAATAATTATCATCATTATTATTGTTATAATTATTGCTATTAATGTATGACTGTCATCAGTTATAGTCATCATTATTATTATTATCTTTATCATTATTATTATCTTTACTGTTATTATTATCATTATCATTATTATTACTATTATTAAAATAAAATCACTTGTACTACAAATAAAAATCTCTGTTGGCCAGGGCCCTCCACACAAGTGGCATGGAGGACCTCATTCTCTACATCGCCAGCTCCGACCGCGAGCGAACCATGCTGTGTATGCACATCATGGAGATTATCTCGCTTATGTTCCGAGAACAGGTGACTTGTGGGGTTTTTATTTTTTATTTTTTTAAAAATATATATATATATCTAGAGTACTTGTAGCAGTTGTACTAAATAAGTGGGCGGTTGGTGGGTGCTCTTGTACTTGTATATATATTGTCTCGGTCATGTTCCTGGAACAGGCGTGTTGTTCGTCTAGTAGTAGTACTTGTAGTAGTTGTACTAAATAAGTGGGTGTTTGGTGGGTGCTCTTGTAGGCTACTTGTATATATTGTCTCGGTCATGTTCCTGGAACAAGTGCGTTGTTGTTTATAGTGGTGGTAGTGGTGAATAAGTGGGTGGCTGGTGGGTGCTCTTGTAGGCTACTTGTATATATTGTCTCGGTCACGTTCGTGGAATAGGTGCGTTGTTTGTTTATGGTGGTGGTAGTGATGAATAAGTGGGAGGTTGGTGGGTGCTCTAGGTTTGTCTCGTCTCGGTCATGTTCTGGGAACGGGTGGGTTGTTATAATGGTTCAGGGATGCCAAATGTCCGGTTTTTCCGGGTTTTTTCCCCATTTTTTTTTCACTTACAAAGGAAACGGGGAGAGGTAAGAGAGAATATGTTTTTGTTTGCTCATTTAAAAACTTTACGAGGTTCGGTTTAGGTGAGATGTGATGCTCCGCTCATTTTCAGGTGTTTTTTTTTCAAAAGTCATTTGGCATCCCTGATGGTTGTAGTGGTAAATGTGTGGGTGGTTGGTGGGTGCTCTGGTCCTGTCCAGGTCATGTTCCGGGAACAGGTGCGTTGTTGTTTGTAGTGGTTTTAGCGGTAAATGTGTGGGTGACTGGTGGGTGGATGTTCTAGGTTTGTCTCGTCTCGGTCATGTTCTGGGAACGGGGGAGTCGTTATAATGGTAGAAGGGGTAAATAAGTGGGTGGTTGGTGGGTGTTCTAGGTTTGTCTCGCTCATGCTCTGAGAACAGGTGAACAGTCATTGAACGTTGTTAATTTTAAAACGTCAGTCTTTACAAAATGTCTGTCAGTGGGTGGTTGGTGGGTGCTCTGGTGTGGTTTGCTTCTTCTTTCCTATCAAACATCTATCGTCTTTATCTCCCCTCCTTCTTTTTTGTGTTTGTTACTCTCTTGTGACACCTCTAATCTTCGGCACTTATATGACCTTATTGTGTTGCAAAAGCCATAAAACTCTTACTAAAAACTAAAACTAAAACTAAATGTCTGTCATTATGAATTGTCTGTTTTCACAAAATTTCTGTCATTTCAAAACTTCTGGGTTTTTTAAAAACAAAAAGTCTTGTCTTCACTCTGCCTAATTGCATTGGTAATGTTGAAACGTCTGCCTTCAGTGTGTCTCATTGCAATGTTAATGTTGAAACGTCTGTCTTCTCTATGTCTCAGAGCCCAGAGACCCTGGCATCTGCTGGCGTGCAGCGCTCCACGACAGAGAAACAGAGGGATCAAAAGTGAGTACTCTCTTGACTATAGAAACACAGGGATCAAAAGTGAGTACTTTCTTGACTATAGAAACAGAGGGATCAAAAGTGAGTACTCTCTTGACTATAGAAACAGAGGGATCAAAAGTGAGTACTTTCTTGACTATAGAAACAGAGGGATCAAAAGTGAGTACTCTCTTGACTATAGAAACAGAAGGATCAAAAGTGAGTACTCTCTTGACTATAGAAACAGGGATCATAAGTGAGTACTCTCTTGACTATAGAAACAGAGGGATCAAAAGTGAGTACTCTCTTGACTATAGAAATAGATGGATCAAAAGTGAGTACTCTCATGACAAGAGTCTCAGAGGGGAACATTTTTCCGTAGAGGTTTATTTTCAGCTGCTGGTTGAGGGATGGGGGGGTGTAGATATTGTGAGTGGTTGGTGGGCACCACTTTTGGAGGTCCTTCCTTACCCTCCCTCTGTTTCTTCTGTCTGTCTGTCGGAAATTTTCACAGCACTAAATGACCAATACTGTGTCGATGTGCTTCTCTTTGCTCAAACAAATAAACATTTTTGTCAGCATTGTTTTGTCGATAGGGACTTGTTGGGAACTTCTACGCAATGAGAATGTGGCTACAGCTAAGGATAGTGTTTCACCCCCCGGGGCAGTGCTACTGACTGAAGTGTCTTTAGGCCATTCCCAAAGGGGGGACATTTCTCGTTCTAGTGCGCAGTAGAATTGTAAATGGGCTGATCTAACAATGTCATGCTCATGACTGTGCCTGAACTACAACAGGGAACTGCTGCCTTTTCTTTCCTAATCCTTACTATCGTCATTTTTTTCCCTCTACTTCTTATGTATATTTGTCATACTCTTGTGACCTGCTATTTCTGCAATGCCTTGATAGTCGAAGCAGATTTTGTGCTACTGAAGCTAGAGAGGTGAGCAGAGTAAGCCTGATTCCCTGTAAGGTCTTCTCTGTTGACATCCACCCCTTGGCGCTCATCTGACCGTATGCAGTTGCGAACGCCGTAAAAACTCTACTAAAAGAAATGAAAGGATAGTGTTTCACAAGGAATATTGTTCAAAGCTAAGGATGGATATAATAGTGTAGAAATGCTTCTCTTTTCTCATACAAATAAAACTAGGGGTAGGTAGATATGATCTTTCTGGCCGCCACAGAGACCCATTTTTCAGAAAAATTCAACAATTTCACCCCTAGTACATCCTATTTACCTATGAACTTCTTGCACAATTACATGAAAGTGAATAAAAGTCATTCGTTTAGAAACTTTTTGCGGGAGTGTACGTCTCCCCTTAAACTGCTTGTTGATGGCTTATATTTCAGACAAACATGGAAGTTTTACCTGTCAAATTATGTTGGTGGGTGCTCTGGTGGGGTTTACGAGTCCTTTCTTTCAAACATCTGTCGTCCTTATCTCTCCTCCTTCTTGTTTGTATTTGTTACTTTCTTGTAAAACCTTTAATCTGCGGCATGTATATGACCTTATTGTGTTGCCAGTGTCGTTAAATGCTTACTAAAAATTTTAAAAATCTGTTGAGGAATGAACGTGTATACTCACAGTCCTTTGTACAAGGAAGATGAGTAACTCTGTGAACCAAAAAAAATCTGCAGCTACCTGTTCTTTTCTCCCCGGGGCAGTGCCACTGACTGTAGTGTCTTTAGGCCATTCCCAAAGTGGGGACATTTCTCGTTCAAGCATAGTAGAATTATAAATGGGCTGATTCATCATGTCATGCTCATAACTGTGCCTGATCTACAACAGGGAACTGCTGCTTTTTCTTTCCTAATCCTTACTATTGTCATTTTCCTCTACTTCTTTTGTATGTTTGTCACTCTCTTGTGACCCGCTATTTACTGGGTGCCTTGATAGTGGAAGCAGACCTTTTGCTGTTGAAGCTAGAGAGGTGAGCAGTCTAAATCTGATTCCCTGTAAAGACTTTTCTGTTGACACCCACCCTTTGGCGCTCATATGACCTTATGCAGTTGCGAGCACCGTAAAACCCTCTGCTATAAAAAAAACAAAAAAACTTGTTCTTTGCAACAACAATCAGTCACTGTTATTTTTTTTTACCCTCTGCTAACTTGTGGTAACCTTTGCAACCTTTGTGACCTTTCCACAGACAGTTGGAGCAGGCCAGAGAGAAGGAGAGAGCGCAGAAGAAAGCAAATATCCTGAAATTCAGCGCAAGGTCAGTGCTTTGTGGTTGTTACATCCTGGTCCTTTCATTTGAGACTGGTGGGGGCTGGAGTTGCCTAGATAGAGGTTAAGGTGTTCACCTCTCGTTCAAAGGTCCCGGGTTCAAATCCTAATAGCGACAGAAAATTCACAAAAGCGAAGGAAATTCAAGGGTTCCACAGATTTCGGTTAAAGCGGACTTCAGTGCAATATTGACGGGGGGGCCTTATGACACTTCTTCAGGTACATTTTACATTTCTTTTACGCTTGTGCTCCTTGTTTTTTGTTTGTTTTTTAGGCACTCAAGATTCGGCGGCACGTACGTGATTCAAGACATGAAGTCGATCAGCGACAGCAACGTCATTTACCACAAGCCCCTGTGTGAAGTCAAGTCGTTCTCCTACGACGACGGCAAAAGCCGCAAGAAGATCTCGAAAAACCGCGCCCCCATCAGGACGGACAACCCAACCCGGCGGTCGACCTTGAGCATGCGGCTCAGCCTGAAGGAGTTCTGCGTGCAGTTCTTGGTCAACGCCTACAACCCGCTCATGCGGGCAGTCAAGGTGAGAGAGAGGGGGTGGGTGGCTGGCGGGTGCTCTGGTGTGGTTTGCTCCTTATTTCCTATCTATCAAACATGTTGGTGGGTGGTTGGAGGGTGCTCTAGTATGGTTTGCTTCTTATTTTCTATTTATCAAACATCTATTGGAGGGTGCTCTGGAGTGATTTACTCCTTATTTCCTATTTATCAAACATCTGTTGTCCTTATCACCCCTCCTTTGGTTTTTTTGTGTGTTTAGTGCTCTCCTGTAACACCTCCTAATCTTCGGCACTTATATATGACCTAGTTATCTTGCAAGTGGTGTAAAACTCTTACTTTAAACAAGGTAGAATGTAAAAAAAATATCAGAAAATGTTTCTTCATGGGAATTGATCTGCGAGAATAGACCTTTACGGGATCTGCTTTGTGTGTGGGTGTAAGGATGGGGCAAAAGGACCGGGAGTGGGATGGGGGCAAAGAACAGCAAGGACCGATAACATCAAGACATAGAATGGCCAAAGTATGACAAAGTGTATAACGGCAGCTAGTGACCGTAAGCACTGACGGGTCATCACACGTTGACCTCTGAGCCAGAGATGACATCCCCAGGTATCCTGATAAGGATGGGCTCAAAATTACACTTTAGAGAGCTCAAAATTACACTTTAGAGACTCTGTCTCGAGTTTCTCAGCATTAGATGTTATGCAGAAATTAGACTATTCCCGTAGGGGGGATATTAACATGTTCTTATGCACAGTAGAATGGTTAATGGGTTGATTTATCAATGTCATGTTCATACTGTGCTGGAACAACATAGGGGGAACTGCTGCTTTTACTTTTCTCATCCTTACTTGTTAGTCGAAGCAGACTTTGTGTTGTTGAGGCTAGAGAGGTGAGCAGAGTAAGCCTGATACTCCGTTTGGACTTCTCTGTTGGCATCCACCCCTTGCACTCATATGACCTTATGCAGTTGCTAGCGCCGTAAAACCTTACTGGTACAGAAATGAAATTATGATCCCAGAATCTTTAGTAGTAGATTTCCAATGTTAGACTCCTATGCCCTTCCACCCCCACCCCCCCCCTAAAAAAAAAAAGAAAAAAAAAAAGACCCTACCAACCGTGCCCCACCCCCACCTCTGTTGCACACGTGTGTCAATGTGTCCTTGTACTACACACACAGGATGGTTTGACACGCAAAACGACACAGGACAACGACGAGACGTACTACCTGTGGGCCATGAGGTTCTTCATGGAGTTCTGTCGACTTTGCTGCAAGAGAGTGGATCTTGTCAGGTGAGACTACAACTACAGTTTAGTGGGTGGTTGGCAGGTGCTCTGGCTGGTGTGGTTTGCTCCTTCTTTGCTATCAAACATCTATCATTCTTATCTCTCCTTAGTGTTGACCAGAATCAGGCTGTGCAGTGTACTGTTGCGAATAGAACCAACCTTTTTTTCGCACGCTCATATGACCCAATGCTGTTGCGAGCATCGTAAAACTCTTACTAAAACTTAACTACCTCTCCTTCTTTTAGTGGGTGGTTGACAGTTGCTCTGATGTGGTTTGCTCTTTCTTTGCTATCAAACGTCTATCATCCTTATCTCTCTTTCTTTTCGTGTGTGGGTGGCAGGTGCTACAGTGTGGTTTGGTTCCTTCTTTGCTATCAAACAGCTCTCATCCTTATATCCCCTCTTCCTTTTTTTGTCTTTGTTATTCTCTTGTTAACACCTCTAATCTTTGGCATTTGTACGACCTAATTGTGTTGCAAGTGCCTTAAAATTCTAGCTGAAAAGTCTATGAGTGTGTCATTTGCATATAATATGTCAGTCTATCAGTTTGTACTTCATGTCAACAGTCTGTGTGTCTATCAGTATGTACTTTGTGTGAATAGTGTGTGTCTATGATTATGTACTTGTCTGTGTCAGTCTGTGAATGCGTACTTTTTATCAACGGTCTGTGTTAGTCTACGAGTGTGTACTTTTTTCGACGGTCTGTGTTAGTCTATGAGTGTGTACTTTTTATCAACGGTTTGTGTTAGTCTACGAGTGTGTACATTTCATCAAGTCTTTGTCAGTCTATGAGTGTGTACTTTTCGTCACCAGTGAGACCATGTCTATGCCAGCCTTCCACTACATCTACACGCAGCTGTGTACCTACTACGAGAATGTGCAACTGGGCAAAGGGGAGGACGCCAAAGTGTGGGGCAGGAGGTGAGTTGTGTGTGTTTCTCTGTGTGTGTGTGGGGAATCATAGTGAAATCATGCACTCGTCAAAATACAATAATGAAGTCGAAGAAACGGATATTTTTCTGCCCGTTGACCAATGCTTGTTGAGTTTTTGTTCTTTAGTCTTTTTTTTTTTCTTTTCGGCTCAACACCTCTCACATCCATGAAGTTTGCTGTTGAGCGGGAGTTTGTGCTATACAAAAGCATAGCTGCCAACTAGTAAATAAAAAATGTGAGGTATCGTGGTGGAATCAGGCTCTCGTCAAAATAATCAAAGTGAAGAAACTTGCATTTTTCTGCGGATTTGTGAATTTTAATCAAATTGTTGTTTTGGGCTCAACACCTTTCATGCCCGTTAAAGAACTCATTTCTGTGTGGATTTTTCTGAAAAACGTTGATTAAAGGCACAAAAGATGTAAATTTTCTGTTACCACGGACTCTTAAGCTAAGGAAATAAGTAATCTTTGGCGGCCATTTTCTCACTAATTTTACCTCTGAAAACAGGTGGCCGCCACCTCCTTCATTCTCAAATATCTCGACTTGTATTTAAGATAAACGGATATTTTTTTTCATGCAAATAAAGACCAGTGAACAAGTTTTAAGATGATACCAATAACTCGATGTGCCCAAAAATTGACGAGAGCCTGATTCCACCACGATGCCTCACAAATGTATTTGACATGATTCTGAGGGTGACTGCCAAGGTCCGTTTTGGGTCAGAAAATGCAGACTCCGTTATTTTTAGTATTTATTTCTCACAGATTTGCTGATGCATGGGTGGTTGGCGGGTGCTCTGGTGTGGTTTGCTTCTTCTTTCCAATCAAACATCTATCGTCCTTTTCTCCCCTGCTTCTTTTTTGTGTATTTTACATATGACCTAATGATATGCAGTTGCGGGCGCCGTAAAACCTCTACTAAAACTAAACGCCGATGCTTGAAAAAAAAGTTCTTTCAAAAGCAGTTTGCGAATGATAATGAGGACAGCCATAACTCAATTAGAGAGATCTTTATTAAAGATTTCTGACCAAATTATTATTGCAGGTCAGCTTTGAATAGCTTGATATTATTGGGACTAAGAAAAATGTAATTGTGGGTGGTTGGCGGGTGCTCTGGTGTGGTTTGCTTCTTTTTTCCTTTGAAACATCTATGGTCTTTATCGCCCCTTCTTATTTTTTATGTTTGTTACTCTCTTGTAACACCTCTAATCTTCTGGCGCTCCTATGACTTTATGCAGTTGTGAGCGCCGTAAAACCTCTACTAAAACTAAACTCTTTCCTACCAAACATCTATCGTCTTTATGGCTTCTCCTTCCTTTTTGTGTTTGTTACTCTCTTGTAACACCTCTAATCTCCGGCTCTTATATGACTTTGTTGTGTTGCAAGTGCCGTAAAACACTTACTAAAACAAAAAGTGCTATTGGGGGGGGTGGTTATTTGTCCAGTGCCCCCCATCTTGACCTACTGCGAGGGTAGTCGGTATTTTGGTATTGGAAAGTTGGCAGCTATACAAATGCTATTTATTATTATTATTAGTAGTATTAGTATTATTTTTTTTAGTTTCATTACTTTACTATTACTGTTACTATTATTATTATTATTATTATTTTTATTATCATAATTATCATCATCATCAATATTGATGTCATTATTAATTATATTTATATATTACTATTTTTATTATTGTTGTTATAATTATTACCATTATTTATATTATTATTATTGTTATTATTATCATCATCATTGTTATTATTAACTATTATTATCATTATCATCATCAATATTGATATCATTATTTATTATTATTATTGCTATTATTATTGTTGTTGTTGTTTATGCGTCAGGTCTCATCTGGCCCTGAAGGCGTACCAAGAACTTCTGAAAACCTTGGACTTCATGAGCCGTTCCCGAGACAAGCAGATTCAAGAGAGTGCAAAAGTTATTCAAAGTACGTTCATAAGCAGGCTGGAGTCTCGTTTGTTCAACTCTTTATCTACGTCAAGCCGCTCCCAGCGGCTCACGGTCGGAACTGCTGTGCCGATGAGCGCTGACAGTGGCTCGGACATATTCCTTTACGATGACTTGGACGTCAAAGTACATTTCGGCAACTGCCGAAAACAGGTCTCTTTTATCGGGATTTCATTTATTACATGAAGAACTAACGAAATAGGTTCACTTTTTAAAATTTAATGACCAATTTAGTGACGTGTGTCAAGCCAACGAGCAGTATCACTTCTAAGTTCTCGGTACCGGCCAGTAGTTTAGTGGCTGGGAAGTGACGGGAAGGGCATTTCTCGCGAGAAACGGGTACTCTTCTCGGCTTTACCCGCTCTTAGTTTTCATGGGGTCTGTAAATTTAGGTTCTTTTTTCATAGGTAGTCAGCGCCTTTGCTTTCTTCGTCGAACAGCCATTCAGTGTTGTCATTTATTGTCTAATGCAGGGCTTCCATTATTACGAATTTGGTGGAATCATTAGGGGAGGGAGAGTGGGAAGAGACGGGGGGATCACTATTCTTACCGTACGGTAAATGTGTTCTTTGTATTCTTGCTCAGTGCATTGAACACTTTCCTTGTGATGGAAACACGTTGTATAAGTGAAATTTTGCGTTATTATTATTATGAATATTATTTGCAGATCAGTATTTGACAGCTTTCTGTCATTTTCTTTGTCTTATGCCCAATTTTATCTTTTGAGTGGGTGGTTGGCGGGTGCCCTGGTGTGGTTTTCTCCTTCTTTCCTATCAAATATGAATCGTCCTGATCTCTCCTCCTTCTTTTTTGTGTTTTTAACACCTTTAATCTTCGGCACTTATACTTAAATGACCTTATTGTGTTGCAAGTGCCGTAAAACTCTTACAAGAACTAACACTTATCTCTTGGGGTTTTGTTTCAGGCAACGTGTTCTATATGATAGAGTACAGAGATATCTTCGTCACTCTTCTCAAGCGCTTCAAGGAGTCCAAAAGCTCTCGGTACGTTCCATTCTTCATCCAGGCTGTGTCCTTTTGTGTAGACTGTTGGAGTGGGTGGTTGGCGGGTGCTCTGGTGTGGTTTGCTCCTTCTTTCCTATCAAACATCTTTCATCCTTATCTCTCCTTCTTTTGTGCGTTTGTTACTCTCTTGTAACACTTCTAATCTTCTGGCGCTCATATGGCCTTATTTTGTTGCAAGTGCTGTAAAACTCTTACTAAAACAAGACTGTTTGAGTAGAGAGCATGGGAATTTGTTGTTGATCATCCTTTTGTTCTTATTCCTCTGTGGGTTTGAGTTTTTTTCACCAATACCGTATGACCATTGTTGCTGGGTCACTATATGGCTATTTTTGTGTCCGTGTGCCACTAATATTGTTCGTTCTCTCTTATCAAACATCTATCGTCCTTATCTCCCCTATTTCTATTTTGTGTATGTTACTCTCTTGTAACACCTTTAATCTTCGGCACTTATAAGACCTTATTGTGTTGCAAGTGCCGTAGAACACTTACTTTTAACAAAATTATTTATCATCCTTCCCGTGGGGGCTGTTGTGGCCTAGAGGTTGAGGTGTTGTCCTCTCATTCAAAGGTCCCGGGTTCGAATCTGGGTAGCGACCAAAAAATTTTCTTCTCTAAAATTGTCTCCTTTCACCTCTTTTCCTGCTCTCTAGCAATGTTCTGTTGTCTGCTTTCATTTCCACTTTCTGCCCCCACCCCCTCACCTCCTTTGCCCCCTCCTCTGGGCTCCTGACTCTTTCTGCAGCCTTTCTACTGTTACTCCTTGGGTTCTCCTTACTGCTGTCTTTCTGCCACACCCCTAATCTTCTGGTAGGAAAGATCTACACCTAGCCTTCACGGACAAGGGCCAAAAATCTCGGAGGGCCCGTGCGCAATGCGCAAATTGCGCACGTTAAAGATCCCTTGGTGGTCTAAAATTGATAAGAGTAGGCTCCGGCCACCACCAGAGCAAAATTCAAAATTTCCTACCAACTGAAAATATTAGGTGTGTCCCGCGCGCTCATTTGACCTTATGCAGTTGCGAGCGCCGTAAAACACTTTACAAAAACACAAAAAAATCCTTCCCGTATGTCTGATAATCCTTTAGTACTTGCCTGTCTGATAATATTCCCAAAGTACTGCACTCTGTATGTCTTTAGAATAACTCTGTACTGTAACTCTGATGTTTGTAAGTTCTCATTATATGTCCCTTATGTTAGGGTCCTGAAGTGTTCTGTATTGCTTTGTGGGTGGTTGGCGGGTGCTCTGGTGTGGTTTGCTCCCTTTTTCCTACAAAAACATTATTGTCCTTCTTTCTCCTCCTCCTTTTTTGTGTTTTTTACTCTCTTGTGACACCTCTATTCTTCGGCACTTATAAGACCTTATTGTGTTGTTAATGCCGTAAAACTTTTACTAAAACTAGACGACTAATATTCATATTCCTTCCTGTATGTCTGATAATCATTAAGTACTTGTATGTGGGTGGTTGGCGGGTGCTCTGGTGTGGTTTGCTTCTTCTTTCCTATGAAACATCTATCATCCTTATCTCCCATTCGTTTTTTTATGTTTGTTACTCTCTTGTAACACCTCTAATCTTCTGACGCTCATATGACCTTATGCTGTTGCGGGCGCCGTAAAACCTCTACTAAGACTAAAACTAAAGTACTTGTAAGTCTGATAATATTCCAAAAGTACTCTGTTCTAATGTTTGTAAGTACTCTATTGTAAAGTTACCTGGCGGTCCGATGCGTCGGGTCTGTCAGGGGGCCCCCGTCCAAGATAGGTGTTGTCTCGTCGTGGTCCTGAGTTCGACTGAATACCCCAGTGAGTCTCTCAGACGATGTCTCTATTTTTCGCGCCGGGCTCTTGACGTCATCCAAGGGCGTGCCACTCCCCTAATTATCTAGTTCCCACAGTAAAGACAAGAATCATGTCCCTTGACATCACACTCTATATGTCTGATATATTATGTTCCTGAAGTGTTCTGTATTCTGTTTCTCAGGGCGTACTTACGAGACCTAGTGGAGTCGACCCACATTTTCCTCAAGATGTTGGAACATTTCACCAAGGGAAATAAGCGTCTGGTTGTCCAAAAAAAGTCCAAAGGAAGGAGGAAGAAAAAAACTCGTCAGAATGTGTCAAATGGAGGTGAGGCGATGTACCTTCTAGTTTAGTTTAGTTTTAGTAGAGGGTTTTACAGCGCTCGCAACTGCATAAGGTCATATGAGCGCCAAGGGGTGGGTGTCATCAGAGAAGTCTTTACAGGGAATCAGACTTACTCTGCTCACCTCTCTAGCTTCAGCATTATAAAGTCTGCTTCGACTATCAAGGCATCCCGGAAAACGCAGGTCACAAGAGTGTGACAAACATACAAAAGAAGTAGAGGAAAATGACAATAGTAAGGATTAGGAAAGAAAAGGCAGCAGTACCCTGTTGTAGATCAGGCACAGTTATGAGCGTGACATGATGAATCAGCCCATTTACAATTCTACTGTGCATGAACGAGAAATGTCCCCCCCTTTGGGAATGGCCTAAAGACACTACAGTCAGTGGCACTGCCTCGGGGGGGGGGGGGAACTTCTAGTTTGAGGGGCCGGGGTTAAGAAACAAACTGACATGATAACTGACCTCATATAATGCTTGCCTATAATTTGAGCAGTTTATCCAAAGAATTTGGTCCTTAAGATTCTCGATCAAAATTATTGTTTATATAATGTCATTATCATTGTTATTGGGGGAGGACTTCCGTAACGAGCGACCACTATGAGACAGAGAAGAATTGAGAGCTAGGGGTAGGGGAGATCTAGGGGTAGGGTTAGGGTACGGGTTAGATTAGGGTTTGGGGTTAGCCTAGTTAGTTAAGTTAGTAGGGTTAGGCCTCTTCTTTATTGTGTTTGATGGGGTGGTCGCTCGTTACGGAAGTCCTTCCGTTATTGGTATTATTATTATTGTTATTATTATTACTATTACTATCATCATTATTATTATTAATTTTATTATTAGTTTATTATTATTATTTTTAGTAGTAGTAGTAGTATTATAATCAAGTATAATTAATTATTATCGTATATAATATTCTATCGTTCTTGTCATTCCCCTCAGAGCCCCCGGCGGAGCTGAGTGAGGAAGATCTGACCGTCCTGTGGGACACCAGCGTCTCTGACCAACTGACCGCTGCGCTGGACGGCCGCACGGAGCTGCCGCAGGACGTCACGCCTTTCGACGCCACTCTGGACATGGCACTGGACGACCAGAGGTCAGTTTAGTCTCGAGTTATGAGAAGGATGATAATTTATCGTAATATTAATAGTAATATGGTAATAGTAATCATTATAATGGTGATCATAATAATGATAAAATAATGATATAGTAATAATTTTAATAATGATGATAATAATGATATAATAATAATAATAATGATAATAATAGTAATCATAATCTTAATAATAGGCATAAAATAATGATATAATAATAATAATATAATAATAATAATGATAACAATAGTAATCATAATCATAAAAATAGGCCTAATGATAAAAATCATGATATAATAATGTTAATAATAATATAATGCGAAAAGTAATGATAATGATAATTATTACACCGGAGAGTCTGCTTTAAACAGACAACGGTTAATCCGCAAACAGCGGTAATCTGGAAAAAAACCCAATCCGATCCCCAATTTCGAAAATGTTATGGTTCTTCTGTTTGAGGTACCTCTCTAAATAAAATAAAAGGCTTTCCCAGAGAAAATATGGAAACCTCTCAGGTTTTTGGTTTAAGCTGGCTCCTCTGTAATTGTATTTCTATAGTGCTAATTAACGCTTTGCAGCACATTCTATGAGCTTTTCAACTGTTATTATTACCCCATAACCCCAGCAGTCCCTAGAACACTCTGAAACATGCTCGGCTTCCCAGGAAGCATAAGCTACATTGCAAGCAGCTGATTAAAAGCTAAAACACAAACAAACTAACAAGATCTTTCTCTGTCTATAGTCATGCACTCATTGGTTTAACGCAGCTTATCGTAAATGAGGTGAAAATGCACAGGTTTATTTACAATAACTGCTCGACTTATCATAAATAGTGTTAAAATACATGTATCTATTTGGGTTTTCTTGGGTGTAGTTAGTTGCAAAGTGCATATTTATTTGCCATGATGGGTTTGTAACGTAATCTGAATCTACTGGGGTTTTGGAGACTAATTCCCCCCCACACCCCCCACACCACCCCCCCCCCCCCCCCACCACCACTACACACACACACACACCCTCCACTCACCCGATCGCGAATTCTTTTTGAAGATTCTGAGTGAAAACTCCCTTTGGAGTTGTTGGTAGGTCTACATAATACCATAGCTGAGGTCCCCCGGTGGTTTTATAATGATAAATAAATTGATAAATAAAGAGATAAATGAATAAATAAATGAATAAATTTATAAAGAAATGAATAAATACATTTATAAAGAAATGATTTATATAAATGAATAAATAAATTTATACTTAAATAAATGATTAAATGAATAAATAATCGAATGGAAAAATAAATAAATAAATAACATTTTGTTCCTCAGAATCGACACCATGCTGAGGGTGCAGTCTTGCCTGAGGGACGGGAACGTTGCCGAGGCAACCGCGCTGTTCCGCGCCGCGCGAGAGGTGTGGCCTGAGCAGGAGGAGTTTGGGTCGGAGGCTATGGGTCTGGAGGAGGAGTTGGCAGCTCTACGGGAGATCTTCATGGCTGCGCTGCCTCGTGAGTACATACCTCGTGTCTTTGTGTGTGTGTGTGTTTGTGGGTGAGTACATACCTCGTGTCTTTGTGTGTGTGTGTGTTTGTGGGTGAGTACATGCCTTGTGTCTTTGTGTGTGTGTGTGTTTGTGGGTGAGTACATACCTCGTGTCTTTGTGTGTGTGTGTTTGTGGGTGAGTACATGCCTCGTGTCTTTGTGTGTGTGGGGGTGTGTGTGTGTAGATATTTCATGGCCTCACTGCCACGTGAGTACATGCCTTGTGTCTTTGTGTGTGGGTGTGTGTGTGTGTAAGGGTGTGTGTAGGTGTGTATAGGTATTTTATTGCCGCACTGCCATGTGAGTACATACCTCGTGTTTGTGGGTGTGAGTATATACTTTGTGTGGGAGTGTGTGTGTGGGTGTGAGTATCTACTTCGTGTCTTAATGTGGGTGTGTTTGTGTG